ATAAGATGAAAGTACATGACGGACGCACACACAGACACACACAGACAACCTCTCGTCAATATGCGTTTTCTGTACTGCATAGCTGCAGAAAACGCATTAAAAAGGTATGTCCAAACACTGTGTTCAAAAATTACGGCTGTCTCAGTTTTCCAAAGTTGAAATAAGTCACCTTGGACATTTTGGTGGCAACAAGCATTGGGCACACCGTCTGAATGATTATCTTCGTGTCTGCATATTCCTTTTGTAAAATACTCGACAACCATGTAATATATTTCTAAAAAAATGGCTTGCCGAGATGCAACAGCGCCAAAAAGATAAACTAAATCTGACAATTATAATATTTTAAGCTACAATCCACTATAAAATAACACTGAAAATCGTACTATAACAATAGTTACTATGAAAAAATACAAAAAAACTACTACAGTTATAAGTTTCAGTTTTTTCAGGACGCAGTGGAAATCTTCTTGACTGGACAGGCATAAAAATGTCTTCAAATTATTTTTTATAAAACAACCTTTGACGCGGAATAAACACTTAGCATGCCAACGGGACTGTATGCAGCAGCAGAAGATATGTTCACAATAATGCCCCTATTTCGTTCAACCATCTGAGGCAGTAAGGCAGCCGAAAGCTGAAATTAGTGAGAATGTGTGCCATATTTTATGCAGACAGATTCTCAGATAGAATTGCAACATTACAACTAAATCATTTAAGTGCAAAACAAAGCAAAGGACTGTTCGAGGAAACCGAGCCTGAAAAAAAATGCAACTAAATTCGCTAAAAAATAACCAGTGTTGCTGGAAGAGTGTTAACAACGTCAATATTTGCCAGTCTTTCGAGACCATCCTCAACTTGATGGATAACATCTGGATAACTGAAGCTCATACCGACATTGTTCACTGCAAATAAATCACAATGAACTCCAAAAAAATATGCATCCCAATTTTCACGCAAAAAACCGTCCTTCAAAAAACCAATTATCAAGAATGTCGGATTCATTTGTATTAAATGCTTAAAGCATGAAGCACGGAAACAAGGCTGACAGTGGAAGGAACAAGAATGAAGACGACACACAATCTGCGTTGGCCAACGACTCAACTGGACAGAAAAGGGTACTGATTTAAAAAAAGTTAAAGGCATGTCTGCCAAACCAAAAATTAAACATGAGCAATAATCTTCCGGCACCGGATGCACATGCACGGGCTGCTGGGTGGTATAAAATCCCCGGTCTTTTCAAAATATCGGACTGGAATGATTTATCCGCAGAGGGCAGCAATTTATTCTACTGGTATCAGAGAAACAGCAGCATTTTGCCACTTTAGTAAAGTAACATTTTGTCTTTCTGGTGATAACCATGACAATACTTTTTTAAATCATTCCCAAGCCCCCTTAAATTGACGGGAGAGGGGGGCGGGGGGAGGGGAGGGAAAAAATGAAAAAAAAAGGTAATTTCGACATCCTTGGATAAGAAAAAAATTGAAGATTTTGCAAAAAAAGAAGCTTAACTTACCTAACACGCCAACATCTAGTTGTTTAAGCTCCGATAACAGTATTTTTTCATAGTCGTCAACATTTCCATTTGTGAAATCAAAAGCAATCGTTTTGACCTGAAAATACACTGAATGAAACGAAGAAGTAGGAATCACAAATTCATCCTTCACCAGCAGAATTCAGAACTTTCACAAGGTTTTCAGAGGAATTTTCGCAAAATTTTCAAGAGGCATTTTCTGAAGGAAATACCGTCTTGAACTCAGTGGAACACCGATCTCGTAACTTTCTCACGGCTACCAGAGGAGAAAGCGAAACATCAGAACAGGAGGCTACAAAAGAAAAATTAAACCTCAACACCATAGAGTTTTTCAATTTCCTCCTTCACATCGTCCAGTTTGCTTTGTGTGCGCGATACCAGAACAATCGCAAAACCATTCTGTGCCAGTTCCAGCGCGTATGCTTTTCCGATGCCATCAGTGCTTCCAGTTACAACTGAAAAAAGAATAGCAGCTAGCTCACCACATTTCATATGATTATTTTTCTGTAATTTTTTAACTACCAAGTATAGTTCTAAAGCCAAAACGTGCTCTATTCCGCGAAGGCAATCCTCTACTCGGAAAGTCAATCTCTCCAAAACCCAATGGAAATCATGTGAGATGATTTTTACAGAAAGTCATTCTTATAGCTCATTTATTTTGTGCATGATGTATAATCAACCGACAAGAAGAATCATCAATACTACTAGGATCTGATGTTTCTGACATGCCCTTACAAGCTGGGGTAGTTCTGCCAAGCCTTTTCATCCCGAGTTGCACATCTACAGTCAACACCTAATCGCCTGTTTGACATATCTGTGCTGACGAGAATGGGTCCCTTTTTGCAAAATCATGAACTAAGAAGGAACAGAACTTTTTAACCATCTCGAGATCTATTGAGTGGTGAAGAATGAGCCGTAGCATTACTACTCTGTCCAAATGTAACAATTTGAGCCTATGAATTTGTACGTATGGCATACACATAGATACACACTGAAGCGTTTAATGCAGCTACTGCAAGCAACGTACGTCTTCCAAATTTTAAAGGCTTTTTTCGGCACCCATATAACATGCGCTGCTTCTTCAGAGATTGCTCAAGTGGTTATTGTACCATCTCGTGGGCACTCAGTTTACATACAAAAACCATAAAAAAGGAGAAAATACTGTGAAATAAAAAAAAAAACTGCTCAAGATCCACTAGCATTTCAAATACAGAAAGCAATCAAAAATAACATACCAGCCCATTTTGCGCCAGCAGCCTTCCTTAAGTTGATCGGTGTTGCAAGGAAAAACGGATAAATGATGTTGTAGAGTACCGTGGCCAGGCGATACAGTACGTAGAGTAGTAAACCCCAGCCTAATGAGGCCAACAAACATTGGCATACCATATTGTTCTGTAAAAAACAAGCGTTCGATACGCAACGTCGATGGCTCACAACGTGCTAGCACACAAAGCCGGAAGCAGCCGTTCGCTGAAAAATAGACCATTAGACACAATATAATCTCGAAATTTTACTTTTTGGGCGAAGCCGAGGCCCACCCCAGCATTGGGCAGATTTAATTTATGGATAGACTTATAAGATAATCTAACAGCGACGGCATCCACTTATACTATGGTAAGGCACATCAGAGAAACAGCGAGATCTCGGCAAAGTGCGGTGAAGTCAAACAGTCAGCTTCCTGGCGATTTTACTGCAGCCTAAAGAAGCGCCCATATCAAGATAAAATTTCCGGTAATTTTGCCGTACTCTTAAAAGCCTGCCCTCCTCCTCTTCCCTCGCCTCATTCCTTCTCCCTCCTATCTTCCTCCCTCAAAAGTCCTTACAGACAGACTACGCTTCTCCAAGATTCTTCTGAGCAACAACCTACTCCCACTTCCCAAACTTTTTTTGCGGAGAGGTACATTCTGGTTACACACAACCTCTCTTCCCTTCCCATTCAGTCCCTCCCCTTCTTCTCAAACAGAAACGACAAAAAATCGATGGCAAGAGATTTTTCCGAAATGATAAAATATCGGAAAGAGCAGCGTTTCACTGTCAACCCGATCCACACTGATAAGCGTTGCACAGTCCAATGATCAAAATAATGAACGTTAAACTGTACGCAGCAATATATCACTGATAAGGCTGAGCAATTCTCGAAATGATCTCTGCTCGTTATCGCTCTGCTAATACATGCTTATCAAAACGAAATTACATGGAAATACTACATCTATCTCGTTGCGATAAAAAAAATGAAAAAGGAAAAAAAAACCAATGGAAAAAACGAATCCATCAAATTTTTTAAACTTTTTCTCAATAGA